GTCCTTCCTGCTGATCACATGCTGGATGACCTACAGTGGTTTAAATGTGCGTAACAAAGCTTCCCCCGTCTGGTTTTCCAGGTGTTACTGTCAGGAAGCGGATTAGACTGTGGAACGTCCCAGTTAACGTACCAAACTCCCGACCGCTGCTACTTCTTGTGGTACTCTCTACCCAGGAAGGAACGCAGTGCTCTCATGCGGATTGCGTTTAAGCTGAAGGATACAAATATTAGCGTTCAACCGGAACTTCCGCTGACCGATAGGCTGAAGTTAAGGGAGGCCATCAAAGACCTCTAAAGCAGGCGAGCGGCCGGTAAACATGGTCTCCGGTTAGTGGGCTTTCGGGTGGTAGCTTGCGGTCATTTTCCGTCCAATTCTGCCAATTCTGGTAGCGCACGACCCAAGTCTGGCTCTAACGAATACCTTCAGCTAGTGCTAAGTAACGTGCGCAGCCTAAGGAATAAGGGGTACGAGTTAGGTCTGCTTGTAGGTGCGTCTCATCCCGATATACTCTCATTCACTGAAACGTGGCTGTCTCAGGACACCACGGATGGTTAAGTACATCTAGCTGGCTACGCACTATTTAGATGCGATCGCTCCGCTGTCCGGTAGGGTGGAGGCGTCGCTCTTTATGTGAACTGTAAACGACGTTTTGAAGACGTGCCTATTTCAGTCAGCAAACAAAACCGTTGGAGCTCCGTCGGCTGTTATTAGCACATCCTCGGCTCAGGTTACAGTGGTAATTGTGTATAGAAGCCTTGGGAGCGTATCCAACGGGGCACTTGACTTCATTTGCTCCCAGACCGCAAACAAGTGTTTGGCGATGGACGACTTCAACCTCTCAGAGGTTTGCTGAGCGGATCTTTCTTGTGACTCATCGTCAGGCCCATTCGGTGGTGATCTGCTTGAGCTTACGCTGCAACTACCTTTACATCAGTTCATTGACCTCCCCACTAGGTACATGGACGCCAAAGTCCCGTCTCTCTTAGACCTTGTATTTGATAAGTCACTCAACGTTGTTGCTGCCATTACTTGCGGACCTCCACATCGTTCCAGTGATCATGCTTGTTCGTTCCAGTTGTACTCTGTCTAGACGCTACCAGGGTACTGTTGAGTCTCACCCGAACATACGGCACGCAGACTATCAATCAATGAGAGCCAAGGATTAGGGTTTCCATTGCGAGATCGCAGAAGACGATACTGTCCAGGTTGCCTGGGATAAATTTAAGTCCTACCTCACAGAGGTCTCTGACCCTTCATCTCGGTAACAAGGAGAATAGAAGCACGAGCACAGCCGCCCTGGATAGATCCCATTGGTAGGCATCCACTCACAAAGAGGTCTAGATGTTGGCGGACTTACCGAGATGCTCCGTCCACCTATACTTACTAGAGGCACCGTAACGCTAGAAATACGTGTAAGCAACACCTAATGAACGCTCGGCTCAATTTCTAGAAAGGGTTTGGGGACGAAGCTTCAGAGAATCCAAAAAGCCTTCGCTTAAGTCAAAAGGCCCTGCGGTGCGTACATGTCAATTCCAGTATTGATGGGGGATGACGGCACTCATACGCATACGGACTATTACAAGGCCTGTCTGCTTAGTGGGCAATATGCGACAGCGTTTGTAAGGAAAACCTCTTTGACAGGCGTTTAGCTGATTTGCGAAACCCCAGGGGGTACAGGATTAGCTGAATTTATTGTAGCGGAAACGGACATTTCGTTTCTGTTACAAGTGTAGCGAGAACGACAAGACAGGGGGGTAGACGTTTATTGCACACCGAAAATGGGCACATGAGGGTCTCGCGTGCGCCATCGAATATCGACTAGATTTCCGTCCCACCACGCAATACAGGTACGGATGTTAGAGGCGAGCCAGTCCTTTCGCCTCGGGAGCTCTGACTTGGAAGATCCGCCTTCCTGTTTTCGCCTCGATCTCCGTTTCTCTGCACCCGATTTGGATCGGCCAGGAGTCGTTCGAGAGCTCTCGACTTGCTTGTTCTGGGCTGTGTCGATCGGCTCGGTCTCGGTCCTGCGGGCTGCGCTAGCGGCGTATTTGTCTGATTTATTGCGCTGTCCACATATTCCCGCTCCGTAGTTCCGGGCCCAGGCTCGTCGCTAGTCGTCCTTCTCGATCCGCTCTCAGCTAGCCCCGAAGAGCTCCCCCGAGGCATTCTTGGAAGCGACCCCTCTACACAAGGACTGAACCATTCTAAGGCCTTTGGGCCGAATGACCTCCTCGTGGTGCCAGCTGGGTGGTTCGGGTTTAGCCCGTTCCAGCAAATAGTTCGGCGGCAGCGTTCCAGGACGTGGTGGGTTTTCGCCTGGCAAGCGTTCTCCCTATAAAAGGCCACAGATATCTGCTTATCAACACTGCGACGTGGCGGATGTGACTTGCCACAAACTAAAGGCACTGGCCCGTAGATATCCGGAAAGTACTATCGAACCCAAGGACATCAATCGCTTATGCTCATATTCCTGACGAGCACAAACAGTCAAAAACGCCGCGGCACATTCCAAGACATAAGCTACATTAATATACAATTACATGCGCATATACCCCCGTACGCTTACATACACTGTTTTGCCCAACATGTACTTTTGTACATTTTTCATCACACTATGTTAGCTAAAATGATCATGCCTGTAAAGGTATGTCTCGCATTGTCGAGAATGAAAGTTTATTTATTTATTTATTTATAATTCACCCGAAACTGTTACGTGAATTGGCTGCCGAACAAAATGGACCGCTCTCGAAGGTGTTTCAGAAATCGCTTGCCAGTTGTGCATTGCCTTCCGAATGGAAGGAAGCTGTCATATGTCCCATCTACAAAAATGGGGATAAGGGTCTGCCTGCAAATTACAGGTCAGTTAGTCTGACGAGTGTAGTAGTCAAACTCCTCGAGAAACTCATGAGACATTCATTGGAGAGCCAGCTGAGTAGATTTAATCTACTTAGCAATGTGCAACACGGATTCCGGAAGGGATTTTTGTGTCTGACGAATCTACTGGTGGCTCGCGAAAGTTGGGCGGATACAGTGGAGAACGACCACTCACTGGACGTGTTTTTCGTCTACTTTTCGAAGGCAGTTGACAAGGTACCCCATTTGAGGCTAGCGCAAATGCTGTCCTCCTACGGGGTATCTGGCCGCGCCCTTCATTGGGTGACTGCCTTCTTGCAGGGTAGAGAACAGTGTGTACGGGTAGGCCGGGGCCTATCGTTTAGGCAGTCTGTTCTCAGTGGCGTGCCGTAGGGCTCGGTCCTTGGACCGCCGCTGTTCTCTATCTATGTGAATGACCTACCCGCGGAGCTTGAGGTACCATCGCTGCTATTTGCTGATAACCTGAAGCTGTGGAACATTGTCGATGTTCCTGGGGGTTCCGAAGCTATTCAGCGAGCATTGGATAAGCTTTGGGACTGGTCTACTTTATGGTTGCTGCCCATAAATCAAGCAAAGTGCTCCGTTCTTCGATTTGGAGGAAGTTGTCCTCCTACGAAGTACGTGGTCGGTGGGGTCGAACTACCCCGTGTATCTAGCCAGATTGACCTAGGCGTCGTACACTCTTCGGCTTTACACTCCGGCGACAACTGGAAGAAGGCCGCAAGCAGAGGTTTCCGCATAGTGTGGTTAAGTCGACGCTCTTTCGGAGTCTTGACGGGCGGCATTTTACGAGGCTGTTCTCAGTTTTCTTTCGGCCTCATCTGGATTACTGCGTCCAGGCTGGTCCGCCCTGCCCCGTCCGGGACAAAATGGAGCTAGAGAGGGTTTTACGAGTGGGTACTAGATTAGTCGAGGGATTACGGGGACGGACGTGCCCTGAGCGTGTAATTAGTTTGTGAATGCATTCAATGCACTACCGAAGGCTTAGAGGAGACCTAATCCTAACCTACCGTATGTTAACTGGGAAGGTTGGTCCAGATTTATCTTGGCTATTCAGTCCCGCTAGATTGTCTGTTCTACGCGGTCATTCGTTGAAGCTGGACAAACCGCGGTCCGATCGGATTAGGGCGGAAATCCTGCTGTCACGCAGAATCTTCGAGCGCTGGAACATGCTTCCGGAAAGTGTTAGCTGGGAATCTACGGTTTAGGGGCTTGAACGGCAACATGACGCTCTTGGGTGGCAACACGAAACCTTTTCATTTCCCTGAGTAACTCGCATCTTCGTACTTCGATTTTCTTTTCTCAACTTTTCTTCACGCATTGGTATTATTTTCTTATTTGAAGTGCACTTCCTTATTCTGTACCTTCAAATTCGCTTCCTTTACGTGACTGCCACAGCAGGGACTGCTACGGCAGGAAACGTGAGTAGTAACTGGTTGGCCAAGGTGCGACACGGGTGTTCCGCTTTAGATCCATCGATAATTGAGCACTTCATCAATTTCTGGCTCAACGATCCGCTCAAAACCGAACGCTCATGGGATTCCCCTACCGTTCCAGTTTCATCTGAATCTGAATCTCTTAAGTTAGTAAGCAGTCAACTTTCGGTGAAGGTTATCCGTTCTGAGCGAATAGTTGAGGCAAGTTGTGGCAACAGGATAAACTGTACAACTAATAAAAATAATAATACATATTGGTCATTGTAGATTTAGATGTTTTTTCTTCCGGTTGGAAACATAAACTATACAACTAATAAAAATAATAATACAAATCGGTCGTTGTACATTTGAATGATTTTTCTTCCGGTTGTAAACGCATGGTTAACATTACAGTAGCATCTCGCGACCTTGAGATCCACACGTCATGTCTGGGGCCCGTTCTATCCGCCACTGGCGCGATTTTAAATGCGGGCTGTTGTTCAGCGGGACTACCTGTTTCTGCGTTCTCAAAAAGTAAGGGTTTTATTAGGTACTTGCGCAACGTGTTTGTAAGGAGGTCAGTATCATCAAAAAACCAAAATCTGATCTATACCATGCCAAATTGCGAAGTTGAATAAAGTGGAAATATAACAGTGTTGTTAAAAATGAATCGGAATATAAAAAATGGATTATGGATGTCCACTGTATGTATCGGAAAAAAGAAGGATGTGAGAGAATGTATGGTAAATTGTCCAAGGCATAGGAAAATCCGCCTACAACCTGCAACCGTGTGTACCGAAATCACACTGCCGAAAAAACATTAATCCCAGTTGTGGATAGGACGCTCTGGCATGTATGCGGTTGTGTTCCTGTCTTGCTTTTGTCTACTTTTCTCCCTTGACATCTTCATAGGTAAGTTGTTGCAAACTTTTAAGACAAACATTAGCAGCCTGCCGTCATCGGATCCGTCTGAAAGATGTGAGCACGCTTACTTTCCAACATGGAAAGTACACTCGAAGCCGACACGGCAACCGAATACCTGCAGTAAAACTATACCCCACGCTTACCCGTTTTCCAGTTAGAATGTGTTGGAGGAAGCGCTTTTAAGCATACTCAATTCCACCCATCTACTGTTCAATGTTATAATCGTGGATTCGACGGAGGAAATGTTAACTGGGAGTGTCAAGCTCAGCTTGACAAGGCCGTTCGATTTGGTGCGCTGACGGTCAATTGCGAGGGGTATGATTACCCTGACGATGACTACGTGACGTATGGATCATGTGGGGTGGGCTATTTTGCTATTTAATTGTCACATTAATCCCAATAATGACACCTCGTAGCTCTCAGCTGGCCTTGTCTACTCGCTTATGTTCCCGTTGAAAGGTTCACTTAAATCAATACTAACCCGTTCTTCTTGTAACGACCTGGAGATTACTAGATTGCCGTCGCATTTTATAAAAAAATGCACAGTACCTGACAGGCAGCTGAATTTCTTGGTTTGTTCACACATCACCCTACGAATTAAAGACTGCGATGTTGAGCGGTCAGCATTTGCCGTTATCTGAAGTGGTTATATCTACTGGAAGGTGTCTTGCACTGTCGAAATGCAAGGTCCCTGCTCGCTCTTCAAACTTAGCTTAACAAAACTGAAAAATTCTTTGCTTTGTTTTTACTATAAATTGCGCTAGTAATGACGGACGTTTATGGTCTTATTGTCAAATATGTCGCCAAGCGTTCTACCTTGATTCTGCGGCATCCTTGGCGGTTTGGGTTTTTGAATTCTGATGATAGCGTACATAGTTTGGTTGTATAGACCATTTCTTCCTTGGATATCGAGATTTGGTACCTTCTGTCAGATTTCAGATGCCTTCGGATCTCTGGACATCGCTGGGGCCCCATGTAGCTGTAGTGTCCTCCTTAATCAATACGTGCAAACTGTGTTGGTGACTATGATTTGCTCGCTGTACTAGTATGTTGCGTTAGCCCATGCTTTTTATGCATGTGCTTAAACTGTTTGTCAAAGAACTTTTTAGTTCGTAACTTTTAATGTAGCACAAGGTTCAGGGGTGGGGGTAATCGATGACCTGACGGTAGAGGATAACGTCGTTGATGACGGAACAGCACTGTTCCTCTATCGCCTGTGTTAGGTCTATTCGACGTTGCTGGCGCATTTGCGTTCATCTTCCTGATCTGGTATACTATTGTATGTTGAGTACGACACGTAGCAGAGAACGCTTTAAAGGCGCTTTATTGCTGGTCAGCGGTCGCTTCGTTGTGATATCTTGCCGTACTGGTGTTCAGGAGCGATAGCAGTGTGCAACACAAATTGGGTTGAATTTGTTGGGGCGCTAACTTTAATATAGGTCGTATCAAAAACTTCTGCTTCCAAGATTGAGCGCCTAAGAATCGCGCGCCTATCTGGTTAGCAGTTATGTTCGATATGGTCGAACATTGGTGCATGTATTGTAATACACTCCAATCCGTCTCACACATTATTTCTGTCACGATAACAGCTTATCTCGAATCATTATCACAAAGCATTTCTGTATGGTTACTACCGTTGGCCACACCATAACGCGTAACCACACTTGATTTTAACTTTTGTTCACTTTCACAGTCGGTTATTTCCACTTAACATCCCATCCAGTGCATCACGAGAATCGTTCAAGGCCGCTTCTTTGTCCAGCTTCAGATGTTCGATTGTTAATTGATTTCTTATATCGAGCACCTTTTCTTTAACCAACTAACTCAGTTCGGCCATCATTCTTCATTCAACACAGCTACCTATGAAGTACTCAACCACTGTGCCGCCATGCACTTAAGTTATACCGTACTAAGAAAAGTGTCAGTAATGTTTTTGTGCATCGAGAATGAGACCTTTATAACTAGGAAGGGGAATGGTCAAAAGCAGCGGGGTCACCACTAAGGCCGATATTTGGCTGTCTCCAACCAAACGTGCTCATCATCACTGCGGCCCCAACCCTGCAGTCAGGAGGCATCAACCGATGGCAAGTTCGAATGGGGGCCCTTGATCAAATCATCGGCTAACTTTTCACCCGCTTTTTCTATTCAGGACTTGATCGTAATCGTATTGGCTTGCCTAAGGCATGCGCAACCCTGAAGATCTGATGCCGAACGCTTTATTTTCTCTTCCCGTGATCAAAGCAAGACGAGAACGCCCAGTGTTTTCACACTTTTCGCACTAAACATAAACTAGACTGCGAAGACAACTGTGTACCAACGCGTAGCCTCTTTACATCAACTTTTACGACTACTAGATGAACAAACGGACGGCAGCATTATAAAATCATATCTTCAAGACGAGTGTGATATCACACCAACTCCATAAATAGCTAAGGTTATTAAAAGTGCTTCAAGGTTTTGCTATACGGTACTTGATTTCATCTTCCGGAACTCATATAGTATCCTAGGTGGTTATGTTTTTAAACAGCTTATAACTGGTCTCCATCAATGGTCAGCGCAGAGTTTGCATTTTGAACATGCAACTCAGCTCGAAATGTTTGATAATCAGTTTAATGCCGATTGACGGGTTCGTTAGCTGTCACCGGTTAATGCAATGTCCGGCATACTCCAGGTCGAGAAGTCGACCATCTGGGAGCAACTCCACACTTCCTGACAAGTCCGATGGACGTAGCTTCCATAGCTTCGTCAATGGCGAAGTTGAAAAAGAAAAATAGTGGCAGGCATCTTTTCACTCTTTAATCGGGGAGACAGTTTCCTTAATGTTTACACTGTATCGCGTCATAATCAGACCTTGCGCCCCAGCGAACACTGCATCAGGCAATTTAAACAGGCAATCCCACTATGAGACGACAGTAAATGTGGCACTGGTGCTGGCTGCCGGTCATGTCCTGTAAACTTTTGAACGTGGCGTGAGCTCTAGTCTGGAAGGCGAGACTGGCCGACAGCACCCAATTTGGTCTCTAACGACTTCGGATCCGGCTGCCAACCTATCTTTTGCCCACCCGAACAATGCGCCATCTAACATCCCGCAAGCAATGCTTTGCTCTCCTCCGTAAGCGGCGACAGATCATGCGTAACACAGGTCCAGGCGAGCACCACTTGCCAATATTTCTTCAAGTAAACCGAGCTAACCAATACTTACCTGCGCACATCATCGTGTCGGACACGCCGGTGCGATCTGACGCCAGCAATGCTATGCAGATGTCGATGATTAGGGACTAGGTGTTTCAAATCCTGGGACTGATTGGGTTAAGTCACGTTCCCACAGAGTATGACGGCCGTCACCTTGGTTTTGTATGGTGTGTAACCGGGATAAGTCACAAAACACCAAAGCCCGCGGAAGGACCATGGGCGACTTGCGCTGCATCACCCACGGTCTCACACAAACTCATACGATATAAGATAAAATCAATACGATTGAAGGTCAGCTGCTAAGAATCACTTCAAAGCTGACCAAGCTTCTTTGAATTCTCCGACCATTATCGATAAACCATAAGGCCGGCCGCAACAGTTGGATTTTACCAAATGATTCGGCTCTGCGCTACATGGTCGTTTGCTAAACCTAAGTTGCACTTTATTCATTAAGTGCTCCCACTAGATGTGCACACTACTTCACAAGAATTGTTGATCAAGCACCGTCAGTTTTGGTAAGTAGCGACCAGGTCTCTAGTCCATACAACAATCCTGATGGCATCGCAGCACTGTGAAATTTTTTCTTAACCCGTAATCTGTTATCCCGCCGTCGTCATGGACACCCAAGGTTTTGAAGCGCTACACGAATTTGTCTTACTTCCCAAATTGTGATCGTGGTCATTGCGCTATTAGCCAACTCGTCACTGACTACTAGTGTCCATGAAGATTGATCCAACTTGATTTGCGCCGTTCCAACTTCACGTAACTCGCCATTTCAGCCGTTTAGGCTGGTGTCCGAAATGGTAATAAATTCAGTGACACTCGTTTTCACTTACCAGGCTACGATTGCCAGTTCATCTTTCTAATCGTCCAGCCGTCTTTTTCATCGTCTTTAGTCTAATTTTTTAATTTTTCCATGGGCTTTACTGTTTTAGCTTTTATTTTTCCAGTACCTAAGTTTTATCCTTTTTGCTCTTCTGTTGTTTTGTCGTTTTGCGATGCGTGGGAGGCTAATTTCTTAAACAGACCGACAGATATCCAAACTACTCGTCCAATGACCACACACTATACGCACGGTATTAAATAGACGCCGGCCACAAAATCACATTAGCTGTCTCTATTTCCTACACTAACACTAACCATGGTGGATCTGAGTTTCGTTTGCAGACTCCCAACATCGGTGGAGTGGCTTCACCTCCGCTTTAATGATTTCTTAACTGATCAGCGAATAAGCGTGTCGCACATTTTCTCTACTTTTTTTCTGTCTATCTCTATGTGCCCTCTTTTTTGTGCAACTGGAAATAGCGCTTGTTAACTCTTCCCACTTTGTTCTATTTCGTCGTTTCAGTTGCAGTATGAACTTGCGTTCACGGGACACAAGCCTTCTCATGGATTCAACATCAGGTCAGTATTTATTCGTCCTCATTATTTTTCCACTCAACGTAAATGTTTTTCGGTACTTTATCGAACTAGACTTGCGTTTTACCCTTCTCACTTCTGGACCCTTATCGACAGCAACCCTTCAAAAGGCCACTCTGTCCCCTTTCGTTGGCGGCTTTGAACGTTCGCACTCTGAAACAAATAGATCAACAGACTGCACTCGCACGCACGTTCGACACCTTGAGTACTGCGTGTGTTGTGTGTCCGAAACGGACCAATGGCCCTCACGGGGTTGTTGCATTAACTGCGCCCGAATAGTCCTCTCGCTATTGGTTGTACACATCCGGAGACGCTAATTCGGCATTCACTAGCCAAGCTAGGGTAAGCATCGTTCTTAGCTCCGACGTTGAGTCATCATTGGTTGATTGGATCCCCACGGACAACCGTTTAATCCTCGAAATAGTTCTAGTCGCTGTTTGTTGCTAGTTTCCGCTTATGCGCCTACTGACTGCATTTCTGATATTGCAAAAGACACCTACCACGAAGCAAACACGTTACTACGTAGTATTACCAGTTCAGATATCTTTATTGTTGCAGGTGACATGAATGCTCAAGTGGATCATCTAAGCTCTTCAGAAGCTCAGCTAGGTTTTCACTACTGGCTCAGTTCCGAACGGACGAGCAACAGCGAGCGTCTGTTGTAACTGCGCGGATCACCGATTGTTTCTTAGTAGCACTGCTTTTAGACGCAGTAGGCGCCGAAGTGCCACTTGGTGTTCCCCTATAACTGGCCAGCGTTGCCATGACTTACATGTGGCGTGGTTTCATCCAGTAGTGTCGCTCCTTCTGGAATACTTGCATCCACTCTGATCATGCATTGATGCGCTGTCGATTTTCCATGAACTTTAACGGGTGGCGTACCAAGTGCCCTCATTTATTGGTAACTGAAAGTTACCTCAATCCCCGGTCAGTCAAGCCAACCAGGGTGCCCTGCCTACCGAACTTTCGCTCCTTCATCTTAATGACATTACACTTCAGCGGAATAGGATTTCGACTGCCATGCACGACGCGGGAGCCTCTGCTTGCCGCACTATCATTCATCACCGTAGCAGTTACTCGATATCTGAGAGGTCGGTGTGCTAGTTGGAATTCAGAATGAAATTCCCGTGTGCTTCTGATCACATGTGTCCAGACAGAATATTAGGCGCAAACTGAAACGAAGTCTGCATGCTGACAAGGAAACCTGGTGGACCAGTAGGGCTCGACAAATGGAGGAGGCGGGAGCAGTAGACAATTATCACAAGCTCATCCAGCTGATCGGCACCACTAGTCCCAGGGAACCAGGCGTCAGTAAGACAATTAAAGACAGCACAGGTGCCCTAATTCAAAATAAGAAGTGCCGTTTTACTCGTTGGACGGAACACTCCCGGGATCAGTTCAGTTGCCTCCCTGCTCCCGGACCCCTTAATACTCAGGTTATGCAGGCTGAGACATGGCCGGTTAGTTTAGAGACTCCATCGGAGTCTGTGCTCCGCAACGCGATCACAGCTATTAATCGTTTTTGTGCTGTTGGTCCGGATTCCCTCCCACCCATACTATTTAAGAATGGTGGTGGGGTCCTCTGCAGAGCCTTGACCTCTTTATTCGTACAGGTCTGAGAGGAAGAGACTATCCCAGCTAACTGGAACGAATCGATCATCAGCACAGTATACAAGAAGAGCAGTCACACCGACTGTGCTAACCACAGGGGTATTAGCCTGACTCTGGTAGTGACAAGACTACTAACCACAATTCTCGTTCACCGCCTCACTGCGGAACGGGAATTTCACATCACGGGAACGCAGGCAGGTTTCCGCCCCAGGCAGGACTGTATAGACCATATATTCACTCTGCGGCAGGGGCTAGAGCAGCGCCACTCGTACCGCAGGCCGACAATGGTTCACTTATTGCAAACACTAGAACTACTTTAATCCGCGATATCTGGCGTTAGAACGGGGTTTTCCTCGGTCTGTATGGCCGTTTACAAGGTCACAGTGAGGGTCGTTTATGGGATTGAGACTTGGGCCTTCCGATTTAAGGATCTGGGGCGGCTCCAAGTCTTTGATCACACTTATATGCGAAGCATTGCTGCTGTCGGGTAGCGCCGGCGTTTCCAAAACGATTGATGTGCCTAGGCCAGTGTTAGACGGGACTTATCAGACTAGTTCTTTGGAACAACAAATAGCACCGGGAAAGATACTTTGGCTTGGTCACATACTACGTATGTCGGGTCACCGCCTACCGAGGAGGGTCTTGTTTTGTTTGTCAGATGTGGAATGGCACAAAGCTCTAGGTGGGTACAAGTTAACTTGACAGCGGGGAATAAAGTCACTGACTACGAAACTGGGTGCCGTCGGTCCATCTTGCCTTCCAAGCTGCAGTCCACGTGTGCTTGACTCGAGACGTTACAGGACGTTTCGTAGTCTGCACCAGTGATGCGTTTGCTGTCGTCGTAGTCAGAGTGCCGGTTTAAAGCGTGTTTGATTCTGTTATCTGCGGGGTAATGGCTGTTTATGATCTGGAGCAGTGAAAACCGCAAAGACGCTGACTCGCCGATACTGCCTTATCTGTGCACGATAGCCAGCTGTTTTTGATCGTATATTGTTGACAAGGTGCATGCGCCTTGGATCTGAATGCTTGCTTAAGGTATTAAGGTCTTACGGTAGGTCCCCCTTCTCTCCATGGGACACCGTAGTTGTACGGCCGCGAAACATGAGTTTAAATGGCCGATGTTCTGTTCTTGATGGTGATCATGCTTCTCACCTCTGCTTCCTGGTCTCCTAACAGAGCTTGGAGGTAAACTGATCTCCAAGATGAACTTGCCCGTCGCAATCCAGATACGACATACCCTAAAACAACACAGCTTGTTTATCCCCATGCTTCTCACAGTTATTGCATGTTTGCTGCTCCTGCGTACGCTTTCCCTCCATAATCTTTTTCCCGGACACTAGACGGCAGCTTGGTGCGATAGTTATTACCTCAGGCTGGCAGTTCGCGTACCCTTGATTCAACTTTGGAATTTTCCTCTACTACAACCCGACAATACGCCTCTCTTATTTCTCACTTAGCAGTTCCTCACTGCGGACATTTCTTTCTAAGTGGTGTACTGTTACCCTACCTCTTTTTCATACTTTTCCGGGGGTCGTCATCCTACAGCCATATCGAGACATTTCTCTTCACTGGAATTTCACAGCAGTTCCTTGGTCCTTTATCTAATAGCAACCGTCTATACAACAGACATAGAGCCATTGAAAACTATGGGATAAATGTGCATAATAACTAAAAAGATCGCAAAGTAAAATACAGACGAACATTTTTGTGTTTTTCACACGCCGTTGTCTTTTTTCTCAGTTTAGTCATTACGGGTTTGGTAAGTAACATCAATGCGTACCTTCATTCAAACCTTCCACTATCCCCGATTCCGCGCCATGTCCTTGAGAGTCTCTAGTAAGCGGTGTTCTTCATCTGACTTTCTAGTCCGGAGGACATACAGGGCCGACGACAGCTAGACTGGAAGTCACCTTGACGTCTTGTCGCCATGTGTTAGGCTGACCACCGCACGATTTCTTCCAGTGCGGCCCTGCACGAGTGAATGGGGCGCGTCGTGGTAAACGCTCGTACGGCATATGTAAGGCGTGATATAGCCGCCTCAGTTGACACAGAGGTATTTGTTTGTCTAGAGAGTCGCTTATTATCTGGGACGCGACGACTAACATCCACGTTACAAATATAGTGTTCCGACCACACACAAGCTATCCTCCGCTGACAACCGTTGCCAGAGGTCGAAATCCGACGCAAGTCATTTACACGGCTCGGCCATGACTCACTTCCGTACATTAGAACCGCACGAACACAGGCATTGTAGACCCCTCCCTTTATCGCGAGCGAAACCTCACGACGACGCCACAGATGTATCAGATTAGCGAAAGCTGATCGGGCTTGGTAATACGGAGAGTGATCTCTATTCCAATAGTGCCATCAGCAGAAACGAGGCTCCCAAGGTAGATGAAGCTATCTACTTATTCAAGCTGCGCGCCTTTAAGAATCAGCAAAGGGGCAGACAGATGCCAATCATGAAATATGACTTCTTTTTTAGACGAAGATCATACTATACTTGGTAACTTCAGTCACCAAGCGTTTTAGAATGACCTGTCTAGTCTGTGGCTCATCACCGAGCAAAGCAATATCATCAGCATAGTCCAAGTTAGTCGCTCGGTTCCCTGGAAGTAGCTCTACACCAAAACCCTAGGGACCTTCCGTAGCGCTTAATCGGACATTCTCAATCGCAAAGTGGAAGAAAAACGGGCACTTGAGGCATTCCTGTCGCACACCGCTAATAACGGCGAAATGTGAAGAGAGCTTAATGCAAGCCCTCTGCCATTCTTGTATATAGCACGAAGGATGGAGGTATACTTTTAGAGCACCCCATTTGCAAGTAACGCCATAAAACAGGCCGATCGACCGTGTCGAACGCAGCTCGAATGTCTAAGAAGAGTGACGGTGGTATGTTAAGGTGACGCTGCTCGGAGTTGGCTGACCGTAAACATGTAGTCCACACTACTGGGGCGGAAACTAGCCTGTTCCTCCCAAGAGTGTAGTTCTCGTGTCGGTGTTAGACTGCGAAGTAGCATGTATGCTAGCAATTTGAAGGTGGTGTGTATTACACTGGTTCCTCTGTACTTCGCACGTAAGGTACGAGCACTCTTCTTGAAGATCAATACAGTAATCTACTCGCCCCAAGACTGGAACCTTTTCTTCACGCCAGGTCTTGGAGAACAGAGTTGTTAACTGGTTGACAATTGCAACGCCACCGTACTTAACTAGCTCCCGAGGAATTTCATCTAAGTCGGCACTCTTGAATCGGTTCGAGTGACGAATCTCAAGGCAGACCTTCGCTTTGGTGGGTGGTTCCAGTGAAACGTTCCAAGGCGCGCAATTACGTATACCTGTTATCTAACCAGAAGGAGACCAACTGAATTGAGTGTGGAAGTGCTCAGCCAAGCGGTCCATGGGCCTACGCAACCTCCCAAGTGGCTTCACTTACACCAGCTTTTATGTAACCAGTGGTCTGGATGATCTGAAAAGGCTCGATAAAATTTCTATTTCTCTTCTGAAGCCTGCTGAGACCACTAAATTTCGCGATCGTTACACAAGCTCGGCTTGAGTTGTTGGCTGAGATAGCAGCGGACTTTATCGCCCCTTGAATTGGTTAAGATATCTCGGCGATATGAAGTCCCCGGAAGGAACGGCAACATCGGCTTTTTCGGTGTTACTCAAAGGCCGTAGAGTGAGCAAAGAAACTCATTCCTAACCGATGCACAACTGCAGTCGGTTGGCGCTTAGGCTGAAACCATAAGCAAATTGTGTCTCTGTACGATGCATATTGATGGTGTATGAGCTTTGAAGTCGAACCTCACACAACCTGTTGTCATTCGGGAACCAGTGGAGCACCGCGGTCTCAGCTTTGTCACTTCGTGCGATGCCAACACCAGCCAAGCCAGCTGCAGCGTCCTCCGTGTCATCAGACATGCAGGAACTATGTGACCCCGAGATCAGCAAGGGACGTCCACTTAACTACGGTGCGGTAATTCTGTACTCGAGTCTCAGAAAGGCGACAGACATCTTAGCGAAGGACTCCAGCGTATGCGCTAGACCGACTTATTGTCCGATCTGCATGCAGGTTCTAACGTTGAAGGCTGCCACTGGTCGGAATATCTGAACATGAGCGAGACTGTCATCGTAAGTAGGTTCAAAGGAATTATTGACGAAGTTGGGATTAGTAGGTGATGTAGGTGCGTAAACAGTGAGGCGCCAGGTGCGGAAGTGAACAACGTAGTAGTAGCAGTAGTTGCGGGATCCATGGCTCTTTTAGCGGGCGAGATACTACCTAGTTGCCTAAGCCGAGGTAAGAACACCACCCCGAGGCTTTAGCTGAACAGCCGAAGGCGATGGAGCGAATTCAGGGAATCGCGCCCATTGAGAACCGGTGACCCATTACCCAGTTCATATGCCTTTTGTTTGGTCGGTTACTAAACAAGGGCCCATTTCTCCACCTTTTCAGCCTCGAATTGCTGGAATACAATGTTCCACCAAAGTTGAACAATTGTGCAGTGGCTTTATTTAGTGGCAAGTCACATCCACCACGTCGCAATTTTGGTAAACAGACATGTGACTTTTTAAATGGGGAATGCTTGCGAGCCGAAAATCTGCCACATCCTGGAACACTGCAGCTGAACCATTGGCGGGAACCGAATCATTCCATACCACCCAGTTGGCGCCACGAGGAGATTGTTCGGCAAGCTGGCTCTCTTAATTTTACCTAGCTGCACTTGTTTAGACTCGCATCTTGGATATGTGGCACTTGCGATAATGATGTTCAAGTTCCCACTTCCTGTCAACGTTTGCAACTGGCGCTATCGCATCCGTTTACCCAGTAAATGGATGCATAAGCTTTACCTCAGCAAATTGATGACACTACTAAACCTCTGACTTGACATTCGCAGCATTTCTTAATCACCATGTCTTACAAACACTATCAGATTAATCATAGCTCATTTTTAATGTATCTGGATTCCTACGCTCTATTGCAGACGCTCTTTCACCACAACTTGGCTACCTCCACTCTTCTCACCATGTATACTCATAGCCGGTTTGATCCTGGTCGCCATTGTCATATGGCACTTCTGTCTCCGGAATTCTGTCGAGTAAGTTCACCATTTTCCGATCACAAAGTCCCTCTGTTTCAGCCAGAGAGACCGTGTATTTCTCTTTATTTCAGTACGTTTAGTGCGGGTAGATCTAGTTACTACGACCCTCGTCGCCTCAATAAAAATTTAATTGTATTTCACCTTAGTACCGTGTCTTTTCTTTGCTCACTAACTAAGTCGTCCAACTTATAATATGCGCAAAACCAGCGGGCTCCGGACCGAGTATGATTACTAAGACCATGGTGATCCAAGAGTCTCCCGTTTTTTAGGTCTATTGGTGCTCTCATAATGCCGAACTCTTCAAAACATTTGCACATAGAGACATGATAATGACGTCCAAGTTTAACCGCCTTGGTGACGCCCGAATGCAAACATTGCGAAATGAAATTTCGACTACCTGGTTCTGAGGGTGTGGACATTAAATACACTCTTCGCACCTCTGACGA